TTCAGCTAATTGCCTATGCTCGGCTTCATAAGCGAGAAAACGTTCCCACATAGCGGGGCATTCTTTGCGTACGAGCTCCTCGAAAAGGGAGCCCATCGCGACGTAAGTGCCTTTGGGGCTTGTAGCCCCGCCGGCGTGTGTGAGCTAAATAAGCCTCCCCACCTTGCGGCAGGGAAGAGTGTGCCTAGAAATAACAACAAATTTGCCTGCGCTTTAGGTGCGCTAGGATGGGTACCTAGCTGTCGCCTATTGCAACAAGCACACAGTTAATAAATGAAACAATGCCGCCTCTGAGGCGAGAAGTGTGTGTAGGATTCTACTTACAAACAGGAACCTGCCTACGAGCACAACACTACACTAACACTAAACTGCTGCACTATTTGCACAAGATTGAAATTGCAACCGAGGTTGCGGGTGGCGTCTAATTCGGGTGGCATGTGCCCTCCGTCTTAGAGAGACGTCCGTTCCGTACGAGAGCACGAAGCGGAATGTGTAACCATTCCTTAAATCCAGCGCACTAAAAATTTTACCATTTTTACACTTATCAATGAGATCATCTACAATAGGTAGAGGATATTCATCTTTAATTATTTTCCTATTAATCAACCTATAATCAATGCAAACCCTAAGACTACCATCCTTCTTTCTTACTATTACTAATGGACTTGCAGACTCTGACTGGCTTTCCCTGATAATACCATCTTCAAGCCATTTACTTATTTGACAACTAACCTCTTCTTGTTCCTTTAATGCTAGTTTACGGGGTCGTTGAGCAACTGGAATATCATCCTTGAGGATAATACGTAATTCAATGGGTGTTTATTTTGTCTTCAATGGTCGGTAGGTCTCCATCATACACCTCGCTTGTTGTTGTGCTATCCTGCTGACCTCACCACCTACAATGTCTAAATGAGAAGCAATACAAGTTAAATTATGCAGCCACTGTTCATTTGAAGGCCTAAGAAAAACATTATTGTTTTCTAAAACAAGGCAAACATATTGTAAAAACTGCTGGCCAAGAATTATGTTATATGTTATTGCGTTATCAGGCACTATATAAAATAAAATATTATCATAGCAATGGTTGTCAATATACACTGTAGCATTAAAGCGACCTAATGCAGTTACTTTTATCAAGCCTAATCCAGTAAACACTGTCATGCACTTTTCAAATGTCTTTCCGGGCCATGCGTTATTGAAGCAGTCCATGCGTATTAAATTAACATCACTTCCAGAGTCTATCAGCGCAAGAATTGTTTTTTCGCAAACAGTAATATACTTTAGAGGTCTTCGACATCCATTAGCATCGTTTACATTCATGACATTGCGATTTTGACAACTGTCTAACTTCACGTCACTTGAATCGACATTTTCATTATTGCCACCCTGAAGGAACGATTTGTTGCGATGTCGTGATTCGTCGCAGTCACTAGGCTGAACATAGACACACATCGTTTGCATTTTCTTGCTGCCAACCTTATTGAATTCCCGATCGCGCCGCCATGTTTTTTCTTCGCTTGTATCTGCTATCTCGCTCAAGCGTTGACCTTTGAACTTGTAGCATTCTGATGATTTATGTCCGAATGTATTGCATCGAAAACATTTAGAACCCAAATGTTTTTGCGGACATTGTATGGAAATATGACTTATATCACCACAATTGTAACACTTTTTCAGCTGCTGGTTAATCTTCGTACTCGAACTTTCTTTATTATTGTTTTGATTGAAGGGCCTTCTTGCTACACTTTTAACTTGTTTTATTTGTTTTTCCTCAAGGTTTCTCAGCCTTTAGCCAAAATAATGCCGTACCTGTAAGCGATCTTCGCGCCACAAGTAATTGTTGCACAGCAGACCAGCCAAATATTTCAGCATTATCTTCCACATCTTGTATCCATCTCGTAATGGAGTAAGTTTTGTCCTGCCCGTTAAACGTAGGCACAAGCTCCGCCGTCATTTGTAACATTGGTCCAAGCTCTCGCCTTCCGCCATCTTGTCCATGTTCGTACACGTAATCCTCTTGGCGACTTTTACGTCTTTCTTGCAGATCCTTCGGCATGGTGATAGCAGTTGCTTTCGTTTATCGTCGTCTTCGTCGTCGCCGTCTTCTTATACGTCGTCAAAATATTGCAGACCACTAATTTGATGCCTTAGAATACGCCGCCACGTGCTGCGTATTTGTCGTTCGCCTGAGATACACCGAATATGCTCGTTCTTCAATCGCGGACGAGTCCCCAAAATTGTGGGGGGATAAATGAAAATCGTTTCGCTAGGGAATCTCCTTTATTACGCGGATTAACAATTTTTACTTTAAGAGCTCAAGCGTCGTTCCTAATGTATATCGCCATTACCCTTTTTTTCCCATCTCTTTCACACAGCTCTTCCGTTTCCTAACTTCCGTTCGATCCGTTTCATGCATCACTTATTCATTCATCCCACATACATATGAACCTTCCTCTTGAATCACTCTATTTAGTAAAAAAAACGCATCAAGATGCGTTGCGTATTTTTAAAGATCTAAGCATACTTAGGGACAGACAGACAGCGGGACGACTTTGCTTTATACGATGTAGTGATGCACAGCAAAGAGACGTTTACATTTCAATTGACATTTTACCACAGTCACTCATGGTCTATGATCCGAATCTAAGACGACCTCCACCGAGCTGATAATAGAATAAAATTTATTTTATAATAAATTTAGTATAATAGAAAATATATTAAAACTGGGTTGACTAAAATAATCCTGGACAGAATATTTTTAATAATTTTTTGTACGCCGATAACTTCGTTGTTTCTGAACCGATTTTGATGACTCTTTTTTTGTTGCAAAGGAGATATCCCAAGGGTTGGTACCATGAGTGTACCAAGGAAACCCGGATCTGATGATGGAATCCCATAGAAATCTAGGGAAATCCTCAAATGTTATAGGTATTAACAATGATTTACTTGTACTTTCTTTTTCTAAAGCTATTGAGACATTTGAGTATAGTAATCATCATCTCATGACGCTGAGCTGATGAAGAAAGGTACTTACGCTCTTTAACGGTTAGGAGTAAGGTGATTTCTTGTTCTCGAATAATGTATACAAACTCGTCGATATCGATTACTGTTTTCTCTGGGGACAACAGAGTGAGTCCTAGAAACTAGAAGTATTAATCATTTTAACCGTCTTTCAAATAAGAAGAAGGAGGTTGTCAATTCGATGCGTATTTTTAACCGACTTCAAAAATGTATGAAAAATCAAAAGATATCCTTCATATTATACAGGGAGGCTTTTATAAGTGTATCCATTTTTATTTTCATTAAATTCTAGACATAAATAATGTTATATAGAAAATGATAAATATTTAAAATCACTCATAATTAATTAAATACATTGAACTTATCTCAAAAACTGCGTGATTTATGTGAAACTCGTTTATTTTACGCGCGATCATTCATACAAGTTACTAACACGCACACAAGTTCGTTTCAAAAGTATACGACGCATTTATGAATGACTACCGCATTGTCTACAAGTTCCGTTTTTTAGGGATTTGAATGGCAATTTTTTTGGAAATAAAATTGTTTTTATTTCAATAAACGATTATATTACCGAGTCTGAACCTCCGGTGTGAATTAAGTATTTAAAAGCACTGTAATTTGATGAAGGTCTGGAGTCGATCTGATGTTGGAGCCGAAAGACAGTCGATGGAACTCCTGAACGATTTACAACAATTACCTGGTGTTTGGACTTCATTTAATTCTATTGATGACATCTTTGCATTCATATAAGCTGTAAGTACCATTGTAGGTCTGATGATGGAGACCATAGATTTACAGCAGTTACAGTTTTGTTAGGCTTATTTCATACGATTTAATATGCCAAAATGTTCTGTTCGTACAGAAATAATAGCTAGTTAAAATCGAAGCTGTACATAGTAATACCATCTACTACCTACTAGGCATGCTGATGCATCAACTTGACACTGAAATTAATTTTTATTCGCGATTATTAATCGCGTCATCTCTAGCAACGGTGTTTCGACGTGTGGCGTACTCAATGTTTTTTTTTTTTTTTTTCATTACTTTTGATTTTATTTATCATCATTTTATAGCAAGGTGCTATTCAGCACAGCATTCAATTATTTTTGGTATCAAACATTTAGCAATTTCTTTAATTTTTATACAATGATGACCGTTATAAAGCACGCTGCCAAATGAGAATTTATACCAAGGTCATTTTCGTAATAAGCCATCATGAAGTGTATAATACATAAAGACTAGGGGTCGATAATATTTGTAGCCCAAAAAAAAATTGCAGTATGATGAAAGTCATTGGAGGGGAATATGATTAAAGGTAAACACGGTTTATCTCGACTTCCAGCAAAAATTCTCGTCTCTTGTACTAACTGATGTTTTTGCTTTCAGTCCCGAGACTATTAAAGCTTCATCTGACGCAGAACCGGTGGGCTAGCCAGAACCCACGGGTTTGGACCAGCAAAACTACAAGGCCTATAGATAAAAGTTAAATTGCAAAGTTGTAGTTTATGAAAAGATCTACAACTTAATATGTATTCACACTTTTTTCACATAACCTCAAAATTTATGTGCAAAAGCTATTGCCTCTGATGCGTAATACTGATGTGTTGAATAAAGAATTACTTCCATATTAAATTTATTGCTTAATTCAAAACTTTTCTTTTGTTACTGTATAGGCAATTTATTATAATTCTCAATTGAATTTATCGATTGCTCCAAGTCTCTAAAACAGTCACTATACCATCACTATTAATTATTCCCGAGCGTTACAAAACATTCGATCAATCATATGTCAAGTTAAATTTTGTCAAGAAAATACCCATATTCTTGCGTTGCTATATCTAAATACAATAATTTATTAAGATATTCAGCTACCCAATTATTTACTCCTTCCTCTTTTAGTGTAGTCCTCATGAAAAATATAAGGTTAAAATTATTTTGTCTTGTGTTAAAATTGTTTCGTCCTTTACCGTTTGTAAATGCGTGAACGTTTTGACAAACTAAAGTAAATTAACTCATTAATCAAAGCCATTTCAACGAACCGTTAAACTAACGCCATCTAGAAAGAAGTAGTACAAACACTTGCAATCAACGTACAAAACATTAACAATAGCCTCACAGTAGCAGAACGCAACACTAACGTCATCTACCAGCAAATACCATGTTACTGACATGGAAGAAATAACAAAAAATTTAAAATACAAATGCAAATTGAACTACCAGAACAAAAAAGAGAAATGAAACAAATAGAAACAAATATTACGAACAGCATAAACAAGAATATCAAAAACTTCAAAATAATGAAAGAAAAGTATCGTATTTTAAACGAAATAGTAGAAAATCAAGAAAAAATGTTGGATCGTATGGAGACATAGCAGAAAAAAAAATATTTTTAGGAATTGAGGAAGGCTTTTGCACCTTCCTCCTATCAGCAGCTGGAAAATATAATCCAACTATATAAATACAAAATTACTATTGCTTATTAAAGATTACGAAAAAACCGACCAAGTGCGAGTTGGACTGGCACACGGGGGGTTCCATACCATTATCTATAAAAACGGCAAAGAAATCATTTCTGTTGTATAGAAGCCCCACTTAAATATTTTTTTATTCTGATTTTTTTTTTATTTGTTTATATAGCAGCAACAGATATGCATCATCTGTCAGATTATATTATTAGTATTTTTTTATTATTTGAATAGTATTTTTGTATGCAGTCTCTTTGTCTATTTTATTCGAGTAGTGTAGTGCTTTGGATATAGCAATATATATGTTAATATTACCAATCCCTGGGACTTGGCTGCTACGATCAATGTTTTCCCACACCCCGAGGGGTGCGAGGGGGTTATTCAGACATGCGCAGTGCCTGAATGTGACCTAGCGTGTATCGGCCCTTTCCACTTTGGCCGTCGGGCGAGCATCACGTGTCGCAGCTGCCTTTCGTGGTGAGGACCCCGCCTTCTTCAGTCGGAGCATTCGGTCGACAGTGCCTTCGAGATCAGCGCTGTTTCGGCACCTGCAGAGGTCACCATCTACAGGTAAGTTTATATTAAGACACCGTTCGCGAAACAATCTGACCGACCTCTATCGATTTTCCGCCGGACATAGACGCGTCTCGTGCTCTATATATAACAGTCTTTAACGCACGACGCACATATCATTACAAGTATTGTGCGTCATTGTATTTTCTCGGGAGATTTTAATAGTTCACCTATAAAATATTTAACAGTCGGAAGATATGGATGTGTAAAATTAAACAAAGAAAAGGAATTTCAACAAAAATCTGAATAATAAGAATCGAATCTTGAGAGTTCACCTCTACGTGTGACCATGGAAGGAAGCGGCGAAGGTAAAACAAAGAATATCATGTTACATGAAGAAAAAATTGAACCTAAAACGTGCCCGCACCAATGCCATCTGTCGGACATTTAAACGGTTTAAATCCAAGTAGACAACATAGATGGCGTAGTTATCAACGGCAATATTTCTGTCGCTCTTCTGCCCTTTCTTTTAAATGGAAGAGATCTCAACAACATGCAAGCAGCGTGATGAACAAAATGGGTGTTTTTATTATAATTCTTGTGTTGTGCTGTGATGTGTTTCGTTATTCAAAATATATTTTTTTTAATAATTTACTTTTGTTATAGTTTTGTGTTATTAAATACATATAAACCGAAACATTGAACAATACGAAACATAATTACATATGTGTGAAACAAATTACAATAATTATTATATTATAATGGCAGTGTGAAATCTGAATTAATGTATTTGCCCGTTTTGGCTAGATGTAATAGGTTAATGCAGTGCTGGTCGAGAATTAAGAAAATAATATAGTTTAAAAAGTGTGTCGATTTATAAGTAACTAGGCGCTGTCCGCGATTACCTTCGCGTAGAATAGGCTGAAGGCGTAAGATTCAGACAGAAAGACAGATAGATAAAATATGTATATAAATTATAGCCTACATCTTATCCTGATGTAAAACCTATATTATTGTAAAGTTTTATTAAAATCCATTCAGTAATATTTGCGTGAAAGAGTAACAAACATCCATCCATAAATACAAACTTTCGCGTTTATAATATTAGTAAGGATAAGTAAGGATTTATTTGTATTAGATTTTCATGTGATTGATAAGTATAAAATAATTATTAAATGATAAAGTATTAAATCGATTAATCATTTTTTTCATTATTACTTTCGTGCCACATCAGTACAAGATCAGCTACGAATCGCTACGAATTACTACGAAAGTGAAGCATGTGAAGAAATCAGCAATATAATTTAACTGTAACTTAATAATATATATCTGAATATATCTGATAAATGTATATATCTGAAAAATTGTTATTATTTGATAAGTCGAAATGTTTAAGTAATAAATATCTGGAAAACTTCCTGTGTATGTTATTTTTATAGATAGACAATAGAAAAACACTATGTCACACACATATCTTTTTCAGCCATCGAACCCGTACCCTCTGATGCAAGAGACAGGTCTACTATCAATTATGCCAATCAGGTATAAGACAACTTGATTTTAGGGTTTATCTCCAAGTTATACAGATATTAATTTTCCACTGTTAACATTCTACAGATCAAGATACTGTTCCATTGATAATATGATTTTAAAATTAACTTGAATATGTATACTAGATACTAAATCTCAAATGAAATACTATAACAAATTGCGTTTAATAATGTTTTTCCAGTTGATAAGTATATGAATACAAAATGGCTAGCCTTTGATAAATGCATAGGTAGCCAATGTCCAGACAAGTAGTAGAAAATCAATAACTATGGAAGAGACGCAGGGGGTTAGCAAGATGGGGCGTACTCGGTGCTTTATAAAGATGGCTGCGGCCATACTTCTGTCCATCACTTGTCCATGCTGTGTTTTTGTTTGATTACCGCGTTTTGTATTTTATTGTTTTAAACATGTCAGAAAATGTATTAACGCGATAAGCGTTAGCTTAATAAAGCACTTTATGAATGTTAGGTTATATGACAGCTTCCTTTGCCCCTCGCGCATATTTGAAAAATTTAATTAAATAGAAGTAAACAGTTAAGTGCGACGTCATTTTGTGTGTAGAAAATACGGGAGCTTAGCATTAATGATTTGATATCTGGCACTAGGAAGAAGCTAGTTTTGAATATTGCCCGACATGAAGATGCATAAAACGATAAAATAGGGGAGAGGCCAGGATATCATGCTTATCACATGTAACGCCGCCCGCCCTGAGCTTTGTTAATTCTGCCGCAGCGCATTCTCAACATCACGTGTGTCATATATCCGTTGTGCGAATCAAATTAAAAAGTCGACGTGCCATCTAAACAACTTCAGTGAGTTAATTGTAAGTTTAATTATTCCTTATCTACTACACTTTCAAACTAAAGCAAATAAGTAAGTTTATCATACATTTAACAACAAATAGTGTTAAAAATATACTTTCATAAAGGGTTAATAAATTAAATTAAAATTGGTCTATTTTAATAATCTAATTCGATACTGATACACATCCTGAAACTGGTCTTTGCTTTTTGTCTGTCCCTATGTGTGCTTAGATCTTTAAAACTATGCAATGGATTTGATGCGTTTGTTTTTGAATAGATACAGTGAGTAAAGAGGAATGTTTATATGTATAATACATTGCGGGTTGCTAGTATCTCTATAAAGACAATGGAGTCGGAGTTTGCCGATGGACGCCATTTTGATTTGACACAAGTAGAAATGGCGTCCTTCGAAAATGGATCGATGAGACGCGCCGAGCATGTCGGGCTAGTGGGTTGGAGGATGGGGTGTCGTTGAACATACTGCGCATGTATGGAGCCCAGATTCATATTTAATCGTTTTATTTGTCATCTTAAATAGTCTCTAACATCATTTAAGCTATACCAACTTCATCATTCATAATTATAATTGTTTATGGTCAATTAATTGAAGAGTTAGTTACATTTGTTATACAATCGTTGATTTTTACGAAAATTAATATATAATTTTACGTGAAAAGTCGCCAAACGACCAGAAGGTTCACCTGATGTTAAGTGAATACCGCCGCCCATGGACACCTGCTATACCCGAGGGTTACAGATGCGTTGACAACGTTTGAAAATTAGGGCTCCGGCTACCTCACCCACCAGACGAAACGCCAAAGTATTTGTCATACTGCCACTTTACGCCGGTCTTCTGTGAGGTCGTGGTACTCACCTGGACGGGCCTGCCCATTCGTGCAACAGCCGAGGCTGCTGCGTGGCCCTACCACCGTATATTAATTGTGAATCAATAATTGGGCAGTAAAGTGAAAGGAACGGAGGTGCTTTACATTTATGCGGTAACGTTGCTTGTGGCCAACGCCCTTATTGGATGCTGCAGGGCGTATGTGTGATCCCCGGTTTCCAATATAGATTTAAACAACCAAAGCATGAGACTCCTCAACCTTTATCAAGTCTTAGTACTTCAAAATTAACTAACATACATATTAATTCAAAAATAGCACACAAGTGAAATTTTAAAAATCTCCACTAACAAATAATTTTGGTGTTTTTAAAACCATAAAAAATATCCTCCATAGCATTAAATTGTACGCTTAAATTTACTTTCTTACTATTTTACATTCTTACTTTTTTACTTACCATCGAGCGTAAGCAATGGTGTAAATGTTAAGAAAATAACTTAAGAAATAGTTTTGCCAGTAATAAAAACAGTATTGTCAGCTAAACCTGGCTGCCTGATTGAGGCTGGAAATGAAATATAAAAAATTGTTGACCTCAATACTTAGGTATTGAACGTAATAAATAAGCTCCGAAAGAAATTAAAAGTAAAAAAATTGCGTAGAATACATTTATCTAATCTAAACTAATAACGTCCTCGTACTAAACTTCAGAACTAATTACAAACTAATTGAATAGTGAAAAATGTTCCAATGTATATAACATAACAAAAATAGTTTTTTGCTACTGCGAATTTGCAATGCGTAACTTCTATCGCTTGTAGTATTACATTTCCCAATTTCGTGAACGCTTTGTAATATGTAACGAAAAGTAGCACGTGCGCGGATAGTAGAATTGTATGTAATGTAACTTGCAAGGATATTCTTAATGGTATTTAAAGGGACATAGTATTCTTTTCATTTAATATAAGTGGGGGAGGCCCATGTTAAGCAGTGGACTCAAACAGGCTGAAATGATTGTGATGAAAAAAATATGTTTTTTTTAAAAATAGATGTTTATTTAAGGGCTTAATCGCGAGCGAAGCTGCGGGGGAAAAGCTAATATTTTTGTAAAAGCTTTAATTTCGAGTTTCAGTGCGATAAGCTACAGCCTAAATTTGTTAATTTGGTTATGCGAATTCAGTAACTCATTTATTCCGTCTCCGAAAAAAATTTGTAAACAATGCGGTCCACCTTTGTTGTACAATGATAATTGTTCCATAATATTGATAGCAAATAATTGACTACTGTGATTGCTTGCGAATATTGGACAATTTCTATGTCAGTGTATGATAAAAGCAAAAACTTTGTACCCCATACGATAGTTGGGCGGACGAAGGAGTATGAAATTTCCCACTCTTATATTTTATATAGAGGAGTGCAGAATGCTAATATTTTTTTTAACTATACATCAAAATAAATCAAAGTAATAAAAAAGCATAACACATAATTAATCATGGTCGAATTTCGACCGCTAGGCGACCACTGGTTTATTTGATTTTATGTACCATGCAATGCCCGTGTTTTATAGCAAATGCAATGCCTGTATTTTATAGCAAATATGGCGCGATTGATATTTTAATATTGAACATCTCATTCGTTGGTATCCCCATAAACATATAATTTTAACAGTACACATTAATGTAACATAATTTGAAATATTATTTTAAGTTATAACGAATAAAACCTTGTCTTTTGAACGTCATTATTTTGAATGCGCAACGATACTAAAACAATTTAATAACTAATAACGAATTTTTATCATCAGGATTCAGTATTATGTACAAACACAGTTTTTTATCCACATTTATGTTATCTCGTTGTATTC